GCGGAATGATAATTCCTTGCTTAGCGTGGCGTGTCGTTTGGCGTGGCATGGGGGGAAGGGCATATGATGAACTTTCGCATGCCCAAATCGGGTTTCTTCTTGGTAAAGCATCACATTGGGCCGAGAATTTATTTGGGCCGAACCGTGAATATTTTGGGCCTCAACAAAAACCAAGCGGACGATAGGGCAATTCAAGTAGATTATGCAAAAGAAAGGGAGTATTTGCGCAAAGAAAACATTGACAAAAAGGATCGGGAAACCATGGTCATGGATACAAGCCATATGTCCCCTGAAACAAAGCGATTTTGGAAGCTAGAATGAAGGGATGTTATGAGAAGAAGACTCTCCATTTAAAAAAGACAAGAAAAGAAGACAAGGTTCCCTTTCTATATGCAAAAAGGCTCTACATCATAGCAAGTTACGTTTTTAAGAGATAAACAAGGACCAGTAAAGTTTTTCACCAGAAAAAGCAAACGGACCATCATGACAGGTTGTGCTTTACAAGAAACAAACAAAGAACAAGAGAGTTGGTTTTTTCAAAAAAAAAAAAAACAAATAGACCATCATAGAAATGGACTATTGATGGTTCTTTTTTGCCAGGTTAATAACTTCCCCTTTCTCTGCATTAGAAAGGGAAATCTTTTTCAAAAAGATTTGCCCCTAGATATTAAAGAATAAAGCCTCATTCATATGCTCTATAAATAGAGGAATTGAATAGGGTCAAGGACAGCCAAAAAATTCAATCAGAACAAAAACTCTCAAAGTCACACTCACAAATTCAAAACAAGATCAGTTGATCTCAAAAAGTCTTCATACTCCAAAGCAATCAAACCTCTTTGATTCACAAAAGACAAATCAGCTAGAACTCAAGTTTATGGTTTCAGTTCAATTCAGAAAAACAATTTACAAAGAAAACGAAATTTCTCTTGTTATAAATTTGGTTCAGCACAAGCCAAATCAAGCAGAATTCGAGTTTTTCATAACATGAAAACCTCAACAAATTTACAGAGATACCTTGAGCTCTTAAAATCGCTAGAATAGCTCTTGGATTATTCATAATGAAGCAGAACAGGTGTTGTAGTGTAGCTCCAGGTCAATAATCATCAATCCAGCCACTCACAGCCCCATCCAGACTGAAGAAATCTCAATTATGTCCATCCTGCAAGCCTCCCCATGGCTAAAATAGATTAAGAGCTCTGTCAATCTCGACATTGGTATCGATTTTCAGCTAAACCTGATCAGTTGAAGGTGCTGACATTTGAATTCAGCATAGTTACACCTAGTCCAGCCTGAGTCATAGGCAATAATCCAGGCAGAAATCGAAGCCCAATGTTCTGTTCTCCTTACAGACATGGTAGTTCCTTTTTGTCCTAAGAGTTCTGTAACAGGCAGTTTCTTTTAAAAAAACAGTTTGATTTATTTTCAATATTCATTTGGGCCAGAACTATCAGTTTATTATGATAAATTATGAAGTCATCACCAATCTGAGGCAAGAAAAGAATTTACCTGGGAGATATTCCTCACCCAAATTCACAGTCACTTGTTAAAGTCAGTAACTTGGAGCGCAAGTTATCTTTGTTTCATAAGTTAAATAGGGTTTTTAATTGCTAACAGTGGCACGTTCGCACACCAAAGAAAGTTGATTTGTTGACCACCAATGATTTTCAAGTCAATGAGAAACTTTACCCTGTCATCACATGATTAGATCAAAACAGATGAACAAAATGCTACCTGTTGAGGCCCAAAAAATCCATGGATTGGGCCCAAGCAATTATCAGCCCGATACAATATTCCATAAGGGAAAAAGAAAGGAAAAAGGGTCTATCACATGCAAGTTATAATCCACATGCCGTGCTAAATAAACAAATTATCATGCTATGATTCGCGATGAAAAAAAAAATATATAATTAACTCATGCTAAGATTAAAACAATTCTTCCCAAGGGCGATAAATTAAAATATGCCAAGCAACATGCCATGCCGTTATCTCGCACCCAACCACGCTACAAGCCTAGGTGGGCCCAAGCCACTCAAAAAACCCGG